TTCCTTTGATATTCATATTTTCCATATTAAGCACCCCCCCCACGACAACAGCAAAAACTAAAAAGGAAAAACTCCTTGAAAAAAAATTTTTGCCGCAAATTATTTTTTAAAAAAACACGCAAAATACTTTTATACTTTTACTTGGGACCTACCAAATCTTGCCGCAAAGTGTCATTTTCGGGAATGTAACACCCGATTGTATCCTGCGCAAGAGGAGACACTGCTTTTACTACCGAGCCTTCTTGCTTTAGTAAGGTCCAAGCCGGCCACTCCTTTGGGATGAAGTACTTCGTTCCGAGATCTTGTTCCGAAAGTCTGTTCATGCAACATAACGCTATTGCATTTACATGAGAAGATTTACGCACAGCCATGTAAGTCGGATGTTCAATGGTAGCAAACTCATCCTGGAGGACGTCGATTAGACATACACGCGCGCATTTTCTTTGTTCTTCCAAAGTCACAGGCGTATTAGCAAAATCATCCAAGCAGTCTTCAAGGAACGAACCCAACGTACTTCGAAAACTCCTCTAAATCGGACTTTATATTCTAAATAATCAGGTGGGAAAGAGTGCAATTAATGAGCTGTCAACACAAAGTCTATGATTGACCCAGTTAACAAGATAATTCTGTATTTTGCCATTGTAAACAGAGCTCAGGCAGTTTAAATGCCCATACTGGGGATCCAAGGCTGACTGACTGTTATATCGATGATCCTTTTTGTAACTTGATGGTTCCTTTGTGTAACGAAAATGGTTACACAAAGGAACACATTGTCCTTTTTGTAACTTGGCGTCCTTTATGTAACTTAGGCTGATCCTTTTTGTAACTTGCCCTGTTCCTTTTTGTAACATTGGTTCCTTTACGTAACCTGATATGTTCCTTTTTGTAACTCTTGTTCCTTTAAGTAACCTAAGGTGTTCCTTTTTGTAACTTTTTCCTTTATGTAACTTAATACATTCCTTTTTGTAACCCTGGCCGAGTTGTTGCATTATAGCTTGAAGGACTAAAACTAGGTTAGATTTTGATGAGATTTTGAGTGATGGAAATTACAAGTTGTAGATATTACCATGAATATCAGTATGTAGAATGAGTATGCAAGTTCAGTTCAATTAGAATTATTATTTCAAAGAAAATGCGATGTAATAGTGCAGAATAATGACTGAAGAATTTTTTATTTTGTAAGTTTATTATTTTAGTGCAATTTCTGTTCTATAAAATTTGTATACTTTAATGGTTTCAATTAGTGCATCTCAATCAAGTTATAGGACCTCCATTTATTAAATAATGTAAAGTTTTCTTGAGGAAAATATGCCCAAAAACGACTTAATATCATCTTTTAAAGTTATGTAATGTCTATAATGTATACAAATGCTCTGTTTGCATTTTTAATTAACTGTTTTTAAACTTAAAAGTCCCCACTGCTTTGACTAGAACTGATTATTTGTAGAAATGAACTAATTGAAATCTTCAGCTGGTAATTAGTATAAATATGATTGAGTTCTTCACCTTGCTATAATAGCTCTTGCTAATAGACACTTTGACAGTAAACAATGCCATCTTTACAGGTTAGACAATGCAAAGTTCAATGGCATCTGCATGCATGAGTGATACTCACTATGGCTCACTCGTGTGGCCATTAAATTTCCTATTGTTATTTTTGTCTAAGGGTTCTTGTAATATGCAGTTTATATGACATGCAGGTAGCTGCAATATGCTATATTAACAATTTCAAAGGTAATAGACACTTGCTTTCTTGCTTATAGACACTTTCACAGTAAATGATGCAGTCTTTACAGGTTATGAAAAACAATAGGAATGAAATGGCAAATGCATGTATGGGTTAATTACTCACTATGGCTCACTCATGAATGTTGCCATTGAATTTCTTATTGTTATTTTTGCCCTATAGTACTTGCAGTATGCTGTTTATATGCCTTACAGTTACCTGCAATATGCTATATTACTAATTTTAGTGCTGTGTATATTCCCTAACCCCATCTGTCACAGTGCTCCCTTTTATTAAGTACAAAACAAATGTAGACCTGGTTTTGATACACTCTTAGATTTTTATCATTGCTATAAATCGCTAAAAATTTCGAAATTGAAGTTTCAGGCAAATTTTGAATTAGGTAGTCCCCATTGGTTTGACTAGAACTGATGTTTAGTACAAACTTTATCAATCATCTTTAACAGATTGTTCAATTTTTACTTTCCTAGGATTTGCTAAATATTTATTTGCAGAAATGATCAAATTGAAATCTTTAGCTGGTAAGTATAAATATGATTGAGTTTTTGACCTTGCTACAGTAACAGCCCTTTCTTGTGTAAGACCATGATTGCCTTAAATTTGTTTGTTCTCACAGGGGATGTAAATCTCATATTTTCATTACCAACATATAGCCTTTGTCCACTAAATTTCCCTAGGAAATTTTGGGGAAATTTAGTGAAAGATGAAGGATTTTTTTGTCTGCTAATAATTCTTCCCAGAATATCAATGAGAAAGATTTGCAGGTGATTATGTCTACAGGAAAATTATGGGGTAATTTTGTCACTGCTGCAACTCAATAGTATCCACCTCTCTCTTGTAGCACAGTCTCAACATGCAAGTAATAAAAAGGATGGTGGCTGCTTTCTTAAAATAACACGCAAAACCTGTGTCATCATTTACTCCTGTTTGTTCTTTACTTTTATGCCATTGACATCATGTTTTCTACTGTAAAACAATGCATATAAATGTCACCATTTTTAGTATCACAAAATAGTTTTTAAAGTAATCATATATTTTTTTGTAAAAATGATTGATAATATATAGTTTCTTTGTGAAAGTGTGGTTTTAAATTGTGTTTGTATGTGGTTCCTCAACAGCTTAAATATGCCCCTTAAAAGAACCCCCTCTTTTGTCGTTGATTTAGCTCTGAGCTCCTAAATTTCAATTAACAGTGGAATATTCACATTTTAATTTCGTTCAGCACAAAGGATGGCTCCTGTTTGCATGTGACTTAATGAATTTGTAATTTGACATGTACAACTTGTACAGTTTGTACCGTTGTGATTTCTTCCTCAAGCAATGAAGAAGCACAAGAATACGGTGTTTCTTTCAAAGCAAATAAGAATTTAAAAAGTTTACTTCTTGGGACTGTCTGACATCGCGGAAATTAGTATAGATTTAAGGCTGCTTACGCGTTTTTTATACGGAAATTTCAAACGCTTTTAAATTTTTATTATTTAACATCTGGGTCAACTAATGCATACTAAAATATGCAAAAAAAACTAAGTTCCTTCGATTTATCACTTCGTTTTTTCGAAGGTAACATGCATAAAGATTTAGACTTTTATGGCGCGTTTTTCGTATGAAAAAAACGCATAAGTAAGAAACAGGCTTTAGCCGCAATTCTCAATACTTAGACTTCAAACTTGCTGAGAAAAAAATTTATTAAATACTCAAGAAAATATGTCTTGCACAAAAGATTTTAAGCTCACACACGGTAAAAACGAATCGTCTGAATTAAAAACCTTGTGTATACTTTAAGCCTCAAAATGGCCATTTCACAGCGGTCAGATGTGTATGATGAGCTGTCAAAAGATCGGAGAATGGGAATTCAGAAGAAAAATTGAACTTTTTTTAGATATTCAAAAGGTTTCTCTTTGATAGCGGAACAGAAATGCCCAATTGTGAACCAGCGATTAGATTTTCGGTTTGAGACGTCTTAAACACCAATTTCTGTGGTGTGGGACTGTGTATAAGTTTTGCGAAGTCAAACAGAAGATGCGAAAAATTCCAAATTCAAATTCTAACAAAAGCTTGACTTCAATAGGGTACTTTTTTTATACGCGCTGTATATTAACAAAACAATGGTTTTGAGTATAATAAAAAATGTTTATTTCAGTGCAGTTAATCCCAAACAGTAGTGTAAAAATGTGTAACAGTGCAAATTTCTGTGACAACAGTTCAATTTTCTGTAACAAAAGTGCAAAATTTTGTAACAACAGTGCAAAATCCCGTTACAAATATATCTGATTTGTTTAAAAAAATTAAATTAGCCAATCAATTACTGCTCCACGTTTAATAATAGAGAGCTTTAGATTTGACTACGACTCCCGCTACCGCTACGAGATTCGTCACATTGACGTGATATTCGTGATACTTCGTACTGACGTCAGAGACTCGTAGCCGTCGCTTATCTGACTACGGCATTTTTAGAAAACTTCGCAGTCCTCACTACATGCTTTAAAAAGCAATAGAAGTTGACATTTTCTCGTTTTTTTCCAGAAAATAATTTGAGAGAACTGTTTTTCATGAAATAGTAGGCGTAAAATTTCCGAAATATTTGACAGGATAAACATGGATTTATTATTGTGTCTGCAGAGGTTTATCATGCCAGCGCGAGGTGGCGTATGCCTACAACGTTTGTTTCGCGCCACATGCAGTGATGAATCTCGTAGCCGCAGCAAGAGCCGTAGTCAAATCTACAGCTGTCTAATAGGGAGCTTTAGCAGTGACTAGGGGTACGAGATTCGTCATTCTTGCGCGGTGTTTGCTTACGTCATCAGCCAAAACTCGTCGTCGTTGGGCTTTCGAGTACGAAATTTATCAAAAAACTCGTACTTAAAAGCTCGGCGACTACGAGTTTTGACTGATGGTGAAAGCAAACAACGCGCGAGAATGACGAATCTCGTACTCGTAGTAACTGCTAAAACTCTCTAAGGCCTAGGTTATACATCGCATTTTGGTCGCGTCGAATGCAATTCAAACAATAGTTAATGAGCTGATTAAACTCACTAAGCTATCTCATTAACTATTGTTTGAGTTGCATTCGATGCGACTAAAATGCGACGTATAACGTAGGCCTAAAGCCGGTTTTCGCGAAGCGACTTTATTCCTTTGTATTTGAGCAATTTGTTCCAGATGGTTACAGTTGAGAACTCTGGAACAAAAGTAAACTGTCGATTCGCGCGAAAAATATCGCTAGTGGAAAACCGGCTTAATAGCGATGGACGAACTTGGACAGACCACTCATTACTTGTATAAATCGTTTAAACTAATTAAATTCGAAATAAAATGTTCAAGGACATATAATGGATAAGGTCATTAATTTATTGCCTCGAAGCAATTTCTCGTGCAACTAATTTTAATTCTTTAATTTCTCGTGCAACTGTGGATAAACATGCACTAGTGAGTTTTTAAAGACTGCAAATACCGCTCGTCCTTCGGACTTGCGCTATTTTGGCTTTAAAAACTCACTCGTGCTCGTTAATCCGTAATTGCATTCGAAATCATACTGTTACCTATACTAACTAAATAAAAACTACTATAAATCTGTAGTAAATGTTTTCCATGAGAGATTTAATTACCGTGAATTGCGTCCATAGATTCTCCGTTCAGTTCTAACCTTGTCTGCCAATTGAACTGTCGTGTATTTCTCCAACAGAGGTTTCAACACTGGTTCAGCTTCCATTTTTTCCCGGACAAATTTCTGCGAAATGGACTGCTTGGTTTCTATCAACCTTTGAAAAGTCTTCTTAAAGACAGCGTTTTCTTCATCTGTAAATAGCTTTGAGGCACTTTTTTTGGACGGGTTAGTTGACAAAACCACACTTGGTGTAAACAAACTCTCACTTCCATTATCTGAGTTCTCATCTTTCTTGCTCTCAATACCATCAACTCCAATTCTGGTTAGACGCTGTTGTGGAGTCTCACTGGGAAGATCACCTAGTGGTATTGTCCCTTCTTCCTCAAACAAAGCTCGGACTTTGTCTCGCACTTTATACGGCGAAATACAACCAAGAATGGGATGATCTTTAATAGCAACTCGCACTTCACTCATTGTTATTGCTCTGCTCTCAATGTTGGTCAAGAAAGCCGATTTCACTGCAGAAGTTTCTTCCGGCGTCCATCTGCGTCTTGCTTGTTCGCCTTCATTCTCCTTTGGTGGACTTCCTTGTGCATCGATGTTTGAGGTTGATGGAACATTTCCTGGTTCACTTTCGTTGGACGGCTTGTGGATATGCATCAATCGAGATAGGTATTTGGAAGATTGGACCGCAGATTTTGTTTTGTTCTGAAGCAAATAGTACTTATCAGCAGTAGACTTATGGTGGTCCATCAAGCCAGCCAACTTTTCTCTCTGCCCAGCATCACTTCGGTGTACTGCGGACACAGCAGCTTTCCGGAAGGCTGTAGCACCACCAGCTCCGAGGTCTTTCCCAAACACTTTTCCCCAGCAGCTGCCTATCTGAGAACCAACAGCGGACGCTCTCATTGGGCGACTGTTTGTGGAGAGAAACAATGGTGCAGCATCTTCTTTCGGTGGATTTTCAAGGGTATTTCTAAACTTTACCACATAAAGATTTATCCAATAATGCAGGGACGATGACATGGTAACGTTTGCCGGGCCGTGTGTTGTGAACGTCTTATGTCTCTTCACCATCACAACAAAACAATCTTCTTCTTTCTTTGCCTTCTGAAATTCGCCAAGTGTCATGTTCGCCAGACTACCTGCTCGACTGCCGTTGTTAATGCATAGTAAAGTGAGAAGATAGTCCCTGACAGAAGTGTATTCAGCTTGGCTTGGCACTGCATTACATGCCATATCTTGATAGTCCCCAAGAATTTTAATAGCAGATCTTGCTACACTCGACACATCAAACTCTTTAACTTGTTCTGGCGTTCTTAGTTGCTCCATGTCTTCTAGTCTCTTTTCCCAGAACCGATCTTTGACAAGCCTTTGAAAAGACTTATTCCACAACTTTACTTGGGAAGACAAGCAACTTAACATTTCTTCACTTGCATCAACTTGCGGAGGATTTTCGCACTTTAGAAATACGTAGAAGTGGTTCAAGGAAGCAAGGTAGGACTTCACAGTGCCCGGTCGTTTATCCTTTTCAAATTGAGTGAGCCATTTGTCTCTCAAAATATGCTTTTGAAGTATGTTTTTTAAGTCCCGTTTTTCTTTATCAATATACTCGACTACCATTTGAATTTGCCTGGAGCACTGGCGAGCAACTCGTTCTTCCTTTCTTCCACCATCCGGTCCTTGAAGCCACGCTTCAAAATTATTAAAAAGATCTTGCTGCGATGGTGGGGACACAGTGGCAACTGGAACTTCTTCAACATCTTCCACACCGCTTTTATCAATACAGTCAGGATTCTCATTCTCTTCACCACAGGACTCATCAATTTCGGACTTACTCAATATGGAACCTTCACTTTCTGACTGTTCATCACAGTCATTCTCGGCCGGGTTGTACGATATGTTCATCTTTTTCTCATGGAAGATTTCAGGATATGGGACAAATTCCTCCGTCTCACTTTCTTCCTCACTGGGGTACACTTGTTCAAAGAACCCTTTTGACTTTTTAGCTTTTTCCAGCCGCCGTTGTTTACCCCTACTTGCAACCGCATTGTCCTCCTCGGATGAGCCGCTCTCTGATGGTGTTGATTCTGATGACGAGATATCCTTTCTGTCATACCGAACTGCTTCAGCTAAACACCGCTTGTAAACTTTGCTAGTGCGCTTCATCTTATGGTAATCGGTGAGATGGTTGTGTATCCGCTTCACCACAGCTTTACACTTATAGACAGGGCACATCTTTTGTTTAAATACACGCTTTCTTTTGTTTGCTTTAGTTTGCTTCTCACAGCGCAGACCAAACATATTAAGGACACCACGGGCATCGGTCTGTTCCCAGTTGTGTTTCTGTTGTAACATGTGACGTGGAAGATGAACTACTTCTGCAGAACATGAAGGATAGGGACATTTATGCTTTTTCCTGCTACTTCCTTTTGAACTATCTCCTCCCTCATTTTTTGTCTCACTAGTGGTTGCGTCGTCGCCAGCAGTATTTTCATGAACAGCTTCCTTGCCAACACTTAATTCTTCCCTGCCACTGTCCTCAGGACCCTCCATATCACTAAATGTTACAAATTAAATCTCAGTTTTTATTATAATTAAAAAAATGAGCAATGCAAATAATACCTGGAGTACTTTGCAAGAGCTTTAAGTCTCGTTACGATCGCTTCAGTCGTTACGATCACTGAAAAAAATTACGAGCGACCGTAGCGATTAAATGGAAATCAACTAGCTGGCGATCCCAAGCGACCACCACGATCGTAACGATCATGATCGCTGATCGTAATTTTTTTCAGCGATCGTAACCACTGAAGCGATCGTAATTAAACAACACCTACTGATAGATAGTTCAACTATCCAAATATAGCAATTCTGTTGGTATATCTTATTATCCTTGTATATAGTGTACAATATATATTGTGTACAACAAAGCTTGTCAATAGATATATTGCAAATCAAGAGTTTCAGTTAGACATTACAATTATTTTCCTTAAACATTTAATGCTGGGTTACTTTTAAAGAGCTTTAGATCTCTTTGCATACAACCTTTCACACAAACATATGTCAACCTTAAATATCTGATACCTTTTGAATAAATTAAACAGCACCTACTAATAGATAGTTCAACTATCCAAATATAGCAATTCTGTTGGTATATCTTATTATCCTTGTATATAGTGTACAATATATATTGTGTACAACAAAGTTTGTCAATAGATATATTGCAAATCAATAGTTTCAGTTAGACATTACAATGTATTTTCCTTAAACATTTAATGCTGGGCTACTTTTAAAGAGCTTTAGATCTCTTTGCATACAACCTTTTCACACAAACATATGTCAACCTTAAATATCTGATACCTTTTGAATAAATTAAACAGAACCTACTGATAGATAGTTCAACTATCCAAATATAGCAATTCTGTTGGTATATCTTATTATCCTTGTATATAGTGTACAATATATATTGTGTACAACAAAGCTTGTCAATAAATATATTGCAAATCAATAGTTTCAGTTAGACATTACAATTATTTTCCTTAAAATTTAATGCTGGGGTACTTTTAGAGCTTTAGATCTCTTTGTACAACCTTTTCACACAAACATATGTCAACCTTAAATACTATACCTTTTGAATAAATTAAACAGCACCTACTGATAGATAGTTCAACTATCCAAATATAGCAATTCTGTTGGTATATCTTATTATCCTTGTATATAGTGTACAATATATATTGTGTACAACAAAGCTTCTCAATAGATATAACAAAGCTTGTCAATAGATATATTGCAAATCAATAGTTTCAGTTGGACATGACAATGTATTTTCCTTAAACTAATGCTGGGGCTTCTTTTAGAGCTTTATCTCTTTGCATACAACCTTTTCACACAAACATATGTCAGCCTTAAATACTATACCTTTTGAATAAATTAAACAGCACCTACTGATAGATAGTTCAACTATCCAAATATAGCAATTCTGTTGGTATATCTTATTATCCTTGTATATAGTGTACAATATATATTGTGTACAACAAAGCTTGTCAATAGATATATTGCAAATCAATAGTTTCAGTTAGACATTACAATTATTTTCCTTAAACATTTAATGCTGGGCTACTTTTAGAGGGCTTTAGATCTCTTTGCATACAACCTTTTCACACAAACATATGTCAACCTTAAATATCTGATACCTTTTGAATAAATTAAACAGCACCTACTGATAGATAGTTCAACTATCCAAATAGAGCAATTCTGTTGGTATATCTTATTATCCTTGTATATAGTGTACAATATATATTGTGTACAACAAAGCTTGTCAATAGATATATTGCAAATCAATAGTTTCAGTTAGACATTACAATTATTTTCCTTAAAAATTTAATGCTGGGGTACTTTTAAAGAGCTTTAGATCTCTTTGCATACAACCTTTTCACACAAACATATGTCAACCTTAAATATCTGATACCTTTTGAATAAATTAAACAGCACCTACTGATAGATAGTTCAACTATCCAAATATAGCAATTCTGTTGGTATATCTTATTATCCTTGTATATAGTGTACAATATATATTGTGTACAACAAAGTTTGTCAATAGATATATATTACTACATGAAAACACTAAGTATATGTATCTGCAACCTAAATACAAATAGCACCAACTAGGTAGTTGATGAATGTAAATATAGCATGTATCCATGCATACAACAAAGCTTGTCAATAAACTACTGCAAACAAGCAGTCTCCTTGACATCATACTGTATTTTACTTAAATAAGGCTGGAGTACATGAGAAATTAGCTCTGGGTCCCTTAACATACTACCTTTTTTATGAAACAAGGCTAAGTAAGCAAAAGATACTGTTTAAAAACCCTTCCATATGTAGCTAGTATGTGCATCAAACTTCTATTCTTATATCTGATAGCTTATATACTAATGAATTAATAAGCACCTACTCATAGATTGTTGAACAATGCAAATAATACCTGGAGTACTTTGCAAGATCTTTAAGACTCTCACATATGATATTTTCTCAAACATATAAGACAAGCCTTAGTTAACAAAGGATACCACTAAGAAAGACACTTAAAAATAAGTATCACTCACATAGTACAGTATATATCAACTCTTGTATCTGATACCCTAAGAATACTAATGAATTAAACAGCACCTGTGCACAGTGTACTAGCAGATAGTTGAACAATGCAATTATAGCAATTCTGCTGGGATATCCATGCATTCAACAAAGCTTGTCAATAAACTACTGCAAACAAGCACTCTCCTTGACATCATACTGTATTTTACTGAAATAAGGCTGGAGTACATAAGAAATTAGCTCTGGGTCCCTTAACATACTACCTTTTTTTATGAAACAAGGCTAAGTAAGCAAAAGATACTGTTTAAAAACCCTTCCATATGTAGCTAGTATGTGCATCAAACTTCTATTCTTATATCTGATAGCTTATACACTAATGAATTAATAAGCACCTACTCATAGATTGTTGAACAATGCAAATAAAACCTGGAGTACTTTGCAAGAGCTTTAAGACTCTCACATATGACATTTTCTCAAACATATAAGACAAGCCTTAGTTAACAAAGGATACTGCTAAGAAAGACACTTAAAAATATGTATCACTCACATAGTACAGTATATATCAACTCTTATATCTGATACCCTAAGAATACTAATGATTTAAACAGCACCTGTGCACAGTGTACTAGAAGATAGTTGAACAATGCAATTATAGCAATTCTGCTGGGATATCCATGCATTCAACAAAGCTTGTCTATAGATATAATGCAAATACGTATTCTCTTGCACACTATACTGAATTTTACTTAAATAATGCTAGGGTACTTTGAGAGAGCTTTATGTCTCTCACATAAGACATTTTCTCACAAACTTATAGAACTAGTTTTGATTAACAAAGGATACTGCACACACTTACTGAACACTTACATAGTATGTGCATCAAATATCAATTCTTATATCTGATAGCTTAAATCCTAATGAAGTAAACAGCACTTACTGATAGACAGTTCAACAATGGAAATATATCAATTTTGTTGGATATATCCATGCCCCCAACAAAGTTTGTCAATAGATATAGTACAAACAAATAATCTCTTGGACCACCATAATGTGTTTTATTTAAATAATGCTGGATTACTTTTTGAAAGCTTTAGGTCTCTAACATGGAACAAGCCGAAGTCAACCAAGGACACTGCTTTAAAAGCACTTACATATTATGTATCACTCACATAGTATATATCAATTCAGACAATTCTTATATCCGATACCTTAAGTACCAATGAATTAAACAGCATCTACTAGCAAATTGTGTTGAACAATGCAAATATAGCAATGCTGTTAGGATATCCATGCATCCAACAAAAAAAAACAAAATAACTAATTAATATGGAGTATAATTTCAGAGAGCTTTAGGTCTCTAACATACAACCTTTTCTGACAAACATGTTAAACAAGCCTAAGTTAAAAAAGGATATTTCTATGTAAACACTTAGTATTTGTATTTACCTGCTTTGGTAAACTATTAATAGCTTGGATATATACTTAAGACACAAACACAAACATTCTAGTGATTCTACACTTATTTTAAATTTCCTTGTATTAAATTTCACGCTATATATTTCATTGATTCAAATTTTAATAAGGAGTAAATATCATACATTAATATCAATATTCAGTAGCCAGCCTAACGATTTCGTCCAGTTATACAAATTTGAACTGCTATAATTATTCGTTTCTTCAGAATTTTTTTTGTTTTTACAGTCAAATACCGAAATATTAGCATAGCGGACTACACCGGATACGATGCGGCGACGCAAATTTTAGTTTTTTTTAAGCAGATATTTAAAACTCTATCCTGAAAGTTAAAATGTACTATCGTTAAGTAATCCTAAAGAATATCACAACAGGATAAATTTTATTTGCTTTTGGAACTGAAAAACTTGCAAAAATCGTGTTGCATTGCCATATAATTACATGTATAGTTTGCGTGCGCCTTATACGCTACCGTCAAATAATCGCTATTTATACATATTTGTCAAATACCGAAATATTAGCATAGCGGACTACACCGGATACGATGCGGCGACGCAAATTTTAGTTTTTTTTAAGCAGATATTTAAAACTCTATCCTGAAAGTTAAAATGTACTATCGTTAAGTAATCCTAAAGAATATCACAACAGGATAAATTTTATTTGCTTTTGGAACTGAAAAACTTGCAAAAATCGTGTTGCATTGCCATATAATTACATGTATAGTTTGCGTGCGCCTTATACGCTACCGTCAAATAATCGCTATTTATACATATTTGTTTCGTGAAAACAATATATAGTATTATTATTGACATTTATGCATAAATTAAGTGGAAGCATGGACCACGTGACAAACATAAAATAAGAAACACGTTGTTGTTAAAATTCAGGAGTTTTACGATGTAGAGTATTAGGCCAAAGAAATCAAATAAATACTTAGAAAATATGTGATATTTGGAAAGTCTGTATGATGAGAACTCTACATCGCTGTTT